TTTTATACCAACACATGTTTACGTGTAGAGACAATAGACGGGCACTTTCGGGGAAAGTGGGAACGATATGACGATTTTGATAATAAAAAGAAAATTAATTAACTTTTATAATTGATAGTGAAAAAAGAATGGTTTTGTTGAAGAAATACGTTTTCTATAAATAAAATCATATTTTAATATCGTGGGGTACATTTGTAAATACGAGAAATTTAATTGACAAATTTTTGTAGTACAATAATTAATAACTAATTTTTAAAGCCTGAATGTTTAAAGATTAAGTAATATTCTTAGGATTCAATAGTACCTTGTATGCTCTGTAAAATATTTCCTTATTTTTTGTCAAAGTCATTTAGATAGGGGTCCCTTAAACCTACACCTGGGTCGCAAGTCACAGTCACTGTTGAAGCTCCTCTCACTACAACGATGGACCCGACACACGCATATGAATACATTGAATGCTAAGAGGTTTCGTCACTATGACCACAAAACTATTATACTGACAGTTCATACGTTATATTTTGTTATATATATGTGAATATATATACTTTAATAGTTTGTACATGTTATATTATGTTATGTTCTAATAATAAAAAGCTTTTAATAATTTTCCAGTTCTGTTCTATATCTCAGATATATCAGTGTGAGTTTCAGAATAAGCTACCAAGCCGTGGAGTAATGTTCTATATCCATAGTACAAATTTCCATCGTCACTACATATAAGAAGTATTTCGTTTGTCACTCAATAACTCACGTTAATACTATATGAAGATGTTTGAATAAAAAACTGTTTACGGTACGTATGCAGTGTGACAATTCAATCTTTGATACATGTGCAAATTTTCGCCGATATCATTCTTTTTGCGTATTTGAGAGTACTACATCTCACTCACTTTTTTCTTCTAGTATATTAATTTTTTACTTCAATATCTAACTGATTAATAATTAAGATAAATTACATCAATTATTAAGTATGACAAATTCTATTTACATATATATGTATAGTCCTGGGATTATTCGTTAAACAAAACGGTTTTCCAATGAGTAATATTTGCAAATGTACGAACATGAATGACACAAAACTATTCGTTTTTCGTTTTATCGCGTACTTATAGTAAGAATTAAATGCACACTAACCGCGTGACAATACAGTGGTTGTATTGTATAGAATATATATACATATATGTGTATTAACTATGAAAACCCACAAGATCCACAAACATACACGCAGTCAATATATCTATATCTGACTTCCCTTGTTTACCATCAATGGTACACTAATTATAGGGCGCTCGTACAGATATAAGGATTTTAATTATGGATTTAATTTAGGTTGTTCTAAAATATTGTATAATATATAATGTACTGATAAAAGGAATAATAGCTTAGATAAGCACGTTTTTTTATATAAAATAAGAAAACATATATTATTAGCGTAAATAATAATAAGTAAAGATGTTTAATGTTGCAAGTTTTGAAACCTCAATCGTCTGTCCGTCGCCAAAGACTTCATTGTATTAATCCACAGGAATCATTAAAGTTATTTCCAACTACATTTATTAATAGAATTCTGTATTTCATATATAATACAAACATAATTCCCTATTCATAATAACGATGCGATATCAAGTGTGTGTGTGTGTGCGTGTGTGTGCTCATACGAGGGGAGGTCAATAAGTTCGCGGAATGAACGGGAAGGGGGTTGAAATTTAACACGAAACTATTTTTCCTTTTCAATGTAGTCTCCCTTAACCTTAATACATTTTTCGGATCTCACAAATAGTTTATTAATACCATCGAAAAAAAATATTTATCTTGGCTATCAAAATAAGCCGAAATTGCGGACTTGACTTCTCAAATTTTTTTCCACGCAGCTTTTTTTTCATTTTTGAAAACAAATAATAGTCGCTGGGGACTAAATCTAGACTGTATGGTGGGTGGTGTAATTTTTCGAATCCGCATCGGTGAATGGCAGCCGTCGCAACATGGCACGTGTGGACTGTTGCGTTGTCGTGCAAAAGGAGCACACCTTTTGACAGCTTTCCTCTTCTTTTTTCCTTGATAGCTTCTTTCAATCTATCTAATAAAGAAGCGTAGTACTGTCCCGTTATAGTCACACCACAATCTTTATAATTGATCAGCAAAATACCTTCTGTATCCCAAAGGACAGTCGCCATGATCTTTCCGGCCGATTGTGACACTTTAAACTACTTTGGAGGAGCTGTGCCTTTTTTATGCCAATGTATCGATTCTCGCTTCGATTCAGGTTCATAGTGGTGAACCCAGGTTTCATCACCAGTAACAATCCGGTCCATAACTTCATCCTTATTCTCCCCACAGAGCTTCAAAAACTGGCGAGAACACTCGACACGCTCGCTCTTTTGAAGTGGCGTGAGCATTCTTGGAACCCATCTTGCACTGACCTTAGTCATCCCAAGATGATGATGTAGGATATTTAAAATGCTGGTTTCGGATACTCCAACCATTGCTGCAAGTTGTTTCTTCTTCAACCGGGCATCTTCCAATATAAGATTTTCTACTTTTGCGACGATTTCCGGTGTGGTGGCCTCAATCGGTCGTCTGGAGCGGGGATCATCTTCAATGGACTCTCTTCCTCGTTTAAAAAGTCCATGCCACTTGTAAACCATGGTTTTACCAGGGGCAGAGTCCGCGTAAACTGATAACAGCTCTTCAAAAATCGTCTGAGCGGATTTTCCTTGCTTGGTGAGGAACTTAATAACGGCGCGGTGTTCAATTTTCTCCATACTCACTGACTTCTTCCCGATTCACTCGTTTGCAGGTTAATAACTCAAAAGTTTATGACCCGATTTGGTTCAAACTTGGTATATATACTATTAATGAGGTGTTAAACAAGTTACTACCTGGACGAGTAAATCATCCCCCTCCATCCTCTCCATTCCGCGAACTTTTTGACCTCCCCTCGTATTACAATGTTCAACCAACATGCCGTGATTGGGACCTTCAATAGTACAATATAATCAAGTAAACACGCGGTATATGTTATGTCTTATGGAAATCCTATCGTATATTCCACATACAAACAAAACAATACATTGTAAGTCATACAATACAATAATTCACTGTACACAAAGAACTTCAATGTAGAGACCAAGATGTATATAAGATCTTTATTTTTATTAATAGTTAAAGGTTATCTGATTTAAAAGCAATGAGTATTAACATGGTTATGCAAGGTTATAATATGTATGTATATAGCATGCATGCATAGATTCATGAATGCAAAGTCGCATGAATGCCTATCTGTGACGATGCAAGCTCGTGTAAATAACTGCAAGGAGTTTCAATGTTTCTATATATAGTTGCTAGCCGTTTTCCGCCAACTTCGCATGCCGTAAGATAGGGAAATTTAATATTTTCATTGTTAACAACTACCCTTGTAATCTTTATTGAGGATTATGCAAGATAAAATGCGTACATAAAATGGAATTTCTAAACACAAAATGGAAGATTCATTGGTATATGTAGGAGCTGCATTTGAAAGACGATATTTTTTTATGATTGACGCCAATGCAACTTCCCTTGTATAATTTCGTAATATCAGTCCTCAATTGACCTCTACACAATAAAAGGAATACACCTACCAAATTTCAAGTCTACGCCTTATGGTTCCAGAGATATCATGAGAGTCAATATGTCGGTTGGAATCCAAATATATATATATATATATATATATATATATATATATATATATATATATATATATATATATATATATAATAAGTATGTTTTAGTATCATGTATCTTACACATTGTATCTTTCATTTGTATTGCACGTACCATTATCCCGTAAATTCCTCCCGTGTTCCACAAAGCTTTAGAAATCAACATCAATAAATTCGTTCATTGTTGGAATCATTTTGATTGCTCTGGCTTTCAACCTATACAGCATTATCCAGAGGAAAATCAATTTTAATGGTAGAGATTTAAGAACTTTAATGGCTTAATCGGGATCTAATGGTACATGCCGAAACTCGGAGTACAATAGAGGGGTCAGTGCCCGACCACCTGTTTTTGGTGTATCGTGGTACTCCTTTAATCCTATCATTAGGTATACCTGTCTCTGTCACACACATATCTACAGCAATATACATATTCATACATATATTATCTTCAAATCCGACCGTACAATTGTTGTGTTAAAGCTATATACATATATATATCTACTACAAATGTGCCTGTGATAGTTGTACTTTAAACCTTCACTAGAAGATTATACTTTCTTATAATAAATCAATAATGTTTTGTAATGTTTCCTTGTAGGATATATTTCTTAAAAGCACCCACTGATTACCATTTTCTTCATTATAAACTTAAAAAACAGCTACAGTAAATGTCTCAGCGACCGGGAGGACAAGATAATTAAAACAGCTATATATCTGCGTGTCTTAAAGCGACCTCTACCTTCCTACAATAAACGTATTTTCCGTCCTATCACTCAAGAATGACAATGAAAATGTTCCAGAAAATACCATAATCCACGCCTTATCCACCACGACTGTACAAATGCCAGGCTCAAATGCCAGCCATTCATATTCGGCCCCGCGTTCCAATGGTTATGTTTTGGGAGTTTTTTTTAAGCAATTTAGACGTGGCCGCTCTGTTTTTTTTGCGGGCGGTTTTAATCGAAGTTGCTATTTTAAAGCCAACAAGGCTTTCATTTCCTCTTTTCTTTGAGTTGCCACAGATTACGTCAGACTGTTACGATATTGTTGTTTGTTTTACAAAGATATTGGACATTGAAGTGTTCTACATTCTGCTGACTAGATTGGATTTTAATTGTTACGAGTCATCGTTATAAATTTTGTTAAAAATTTAAAGTTATCCTTGATAAAACTACCTGTTGTATTGTGGTTATTTTAACCATACAAAGATATATGTAGATCCAAATACAATTTAAGCCCTTTTAATGGTGGTATGTTTCTTACAGATAACCTCTACGATGGTGCAATGATGTGAATGCAATGCTGCTCCAGCAAGTGTCGGCGTCGCCTGGTCCCAGCGGCACTTCCAGCCCCAAGCTCCCACCAAGCCCACGCCCGAATCCCAGCCCCAACTTTGGCTCACGATTCGCCAGTCCAAGTTTGAGTGATGGAGCTTCAAGTTCCAGTAGCCAACGACTTGGCTGTAATAGTCCAAAACTTGGAACGAACAGCCCAAGGTTGGGTGCCAGCCCTAAATATGGAAGCCCCAGGCTGGGGAGCGATAGTCCGAGATATGAAGGGAAAGGGGCTTTGGAAGATGAGGTGGCTTTGGAGAGACTGCAGACGGAATTAAAAGCAGGATGGACTGTTCACACAGGGAGAGATGGCCGGTTGTATTATTGCAAGTAAGTTGATACTAGGCACTTATATTTAATTCTTTGTTTAATATAGATAACAAAGATTTGTAGTGGTAATATTAAATACCAAGCGAGGTTCTAATAGAACAGTAAACAAAGCGCAGGTACGCGGGAAGTGGACAATATAGAGGAATGAATGCGTTCCGTTTCTTTGCAATTACTGCAATTTAGCGCAATAGTCGGAGGAACTCGCTAGTTCGGCGAGCGGTAGGGTGTTTATTATTTACCACTTATATCATAACCTTTCATAATATAATAAAAAAAGTCAGACAAAACTCAATTTAAATTGCAACACAACGATTTTGTCAATTTCACGTAATACCCAAATTCTATTTGTTATGAAATGAATTGCAATGTAATTTAAACAGTAGTGACTTTCGTAGATGTATTTGAGAGACAATATCGTGAGAAATGACCTGTTCGTAACACAATCCAGAAACAATCACGAATGACATCATGTTTATTAAAAATGTAGTAACGCGATGAAAACATGGCCGGTACAATCGTGAGGCGCGCTATTGTTAACTATTGTTAAGATTATTTTTTTATCTATATATATAAATGAATCCCTTTTTCCCTTGGTCACGGCATCACTCGTGAATGGCTGGACTGAATTCACTAATTCTTTTTTTATTGTATTTGTTACTAGAAGACCTGGCGAACTTCGTATCGCCCCATAATCAAGAAATATCTATTACGTTTTTTTATTTACATATATTTTTGGAGTTTACCTGTAAGCCATAAATCTCCGTGTTTTGAAGTGCGACAGAATGATTGACATATTAGTTAGTTGTCAAATCTAATGTCAAAAAAAAAAACGTTTGTATGGGAAATAGAAAAGGGCTGTTTTTATGGTTTTCCCAGTAAAGAATCAATTTCTTTCAGCTTTTATACCTTCCCTGAACCTCCACGAACATTTCAAGACTAAGATAAGATAAATCCGTTCAGCTGTTCTCGAGTTTTAGCGAGACTAAGGAACAGCAATCCATTTTTATATATATAGAAGATTATTAAGAGATAAAAAATTACGAAAATTATTAGAAGAAAAATATCGAATATTTCACTTTTTTATTAAAATAATGTGTCACTCATAGCAATATTCACGTAATTATAAGAAAGTATTAGAATAATAAATACTTTCTGTTTGGAATAATTTTGATTTATTAATATACTAATTAGAATTCAATAATCACAGTTAAGAAGACAGAACATTGTCTTGAGTTAGTTATACTTAATAAAGAAATTAACTTCATTGAGATAAAAAGGTAACAGATATTTCTTGATTATAGGGCGGTACGAAGCTAGTTTTAAATAAAAGATTAAATAATCTAAAAATTATAAATCATATTAAGGGTTTTATGTATATTTTAAATGATAAAGTCTATCTTTTATATACAAAAACTATACCACGAAAACTCCTAAATGCGAGGTCTATCCTCTGTATATGTCTACCGTAAGCGGTATATTCAACTGTGCCGTATCGCTAGGAGCTTTGTGTGGAAGCAATCAAGCAAAAACATTTTTGCTACGAACAGACGAGACACGCGGTTACTGTACTATTATAAGCGCATTGATCACGAACAAATCCCCGCTACAATAATTTTCAGCTGGTTCTAACAGGGTTGACGCTTAATATGTTCTTATATGGTATTAATTTAAATAAAAACAAGAATTTATTAAATATATTGTTTAACTGTACATAAAGAGTTAAACTAATAGATATATTCATCATCAGCCTATCAGAGCCAACTCCTGAGCAAAGGTCTCTTCTTACATGGAGAATGTTTGAGCATTAATCATCACGCTTGCTCAAGACGGTTTGGTGATTTCAAACTTATAATTGGAAATTATAACTACAATTATAACTCATAATGTTTTCTTTCACCGTCTGTCAGTGGTGTTTCAATACTCTTAGAAAGTACGTATGACTAGGAAAAATCACATTGATACTTGCCAGGTTTCGAACCCGCGCCTTCATGCATAAGAGGCGGGCCTTTAACCAGTAGGCCACCACGACTTTTTTTGAAATATTACATATGTTAAAGTTTTGTTTATTATATGGAAATAATACATACATATGCTTTTAATTACTTATCCACACTATTTAGCATTTCGTATACAATCAGAGTTTCTTTCATTATTGTTAACATTGAAATAAAATTCTTTTATTCTGTTAAAATATATTTATGTGTATGTGGCAGCCTTGATAGCTTGCCGCTCAGGAAGCGTCATTCCTTCCCTGCTTCATCAGATAGATTGAATAAAGACAATGTAGAATCCGCTTATAAATTATCTTCAGTCACGCCTCATGCTGAACAGCATTAGCTGATATTCTCCACTTCAAAACCCGTTCTGTTCTATACGAATAATATGATCGCTACTAATATTATCAATGCGAAAGTAACTCTGTTTGTCTGTTACGCTTTCACGCCTAAACCACTAAACTGATTTTAGTGAAATTTGGTACAGATATAGAGCTGACCTTGAGCAAGAACATAGGATAGTTCTTATCTCAGACTTTTGAAAGGTGCTCTTGGAAACGCGATATAACCGAACTCCACGCGGGCGAAGCTAGTCATATATATTTCTTCAATGCTTCTCCATGTCGTAATATTAATAAAGGTAATTAATACAATTAAATCATAATTTATATACACACTCAATTGATTTTTAGTCAAATTAGTGTTCAAATGATAATAAATACTTTAGGCGCAAGTTTTAAATTTAAGATTTTGTCCGCGTCTTCGTCCGCGTTAATTTCGAAATTAGTAATATATGTATAGCTGACCGTTCGAAGTCTATTCTGCTTAAGAGGCCGTACATAACCATTTTTCGAATGAACAGAATTAAATATCCTATGTACGTCTCCTGGTTCTAAGCTCCCCACCAATTTTCAACTATATCCCTACAGCCGTTCTTGAGTTATACAGGGTGACTGGTGAATTTCTATCAATATTTAAGCAGCATATTCGGTACATGATTCTCATTCGAATTATGTAAAAAAATAGGTACTTAATTTTTTACCAAATTTCCGTATAAATAAATAAAGTGTGGACACGTTCCAAGTGTTCCAAGTGTGGACGCGTGCGGCGGTGTGCTGATACAACACCACGCCGCCGCACGCGTGTGTGTGTGTGTGTGTGTATACCTAATCTACACGATGCGTAATTAATTACATAACTTTTGGTTAACTTTACTTAGAAGTTTATTAATATTTATGTTATATTAAGTTTTATTTTGTCATATATGATCGTCAAATATCACGTCCTCAAGTATCGATAGTAATTCACCAGTCACCCTGTAAATAGTGTAACTAACACGACTTTATTTTATATATATAGATATTATATATATAGATATAAGCATGAATTTAAAGCTGTGTGTAAACTAATACATCAATAATCACAGATAAATCATCTTTCTATTCCTTATATCAGTATAATTCTTTACAATAATGGTCTTTGTACATATGTCCACATGTGTTCTCGATTAACACAAAGCGCTCTCATGATTATAATGAATCTTTTTAATTACTAAACCGGAATTTATATTAGGTTACAATATATAAAATCTATATTGTATAGTAATTTGATTATAATTTTTCCATTAACAATACATTTTTATGGGTTAAAAAGAACTTTATTTTACGTTTAACCACTTGTTTCGTTGTACATATATACCTTACTTAAAATCATAATGAATCTTTTTAATCACTGAACCGGAATTTATATTAGGTTACGTTATATAAAATCTGTATTGTATAGTTTTTTGATTATTATTTTTCCATTAACAATACTTTTTATGGGATAAAAGGAACTTTATTTTTAACCAGTTGTTTCGTTGAATTTATCTTAAGCTTAAAATCTTTTTAATCTGTTCTTTTACAATGTATATTTTTTCTTAAGAAATATTAAACTAAAAAAACTATGTTTTTGGAAAGCAGTAACGTTTTTTATTTTTTAGTTAAGAATTTTTATTTTCGTTTTTCCGTAATCGCGGTTACAGAAAGGCTACTGACTTTAAATGAAATGGAAAGTTATATAAAACGTATATATATATACAATTCTCGTGTCGCGGTTTTAGACAGAGAACTCCTTCGAAACGGCTGGACCGATTTTGATGAAATTTTGTGAGCATATCGAGTAAGATCTGAGAATCGGCCAACACCTATTTTTCATACCCCTAAGTCATAAAGGTTGTTCACCCTTAAATTATTTTTTTATAATGTAGCATTAAAAAATACATACAACCCAATTTTTTTTTACTTTTTTATCACCAACCTCTATTTTCATATGACAAAACAACGTTTGCCGTGTCAGCTAGTGTATACATATATTTTAAGGTAACTAAAATAAATAAACTTCATAAAAACTTTACCTGACTTGTGATTCTATAAGCGTGTAATTCTTAAGGGAATTTCGAAGCACGGAATTTGTAACTTGTTTTTCTGAGTTCACGTGATTATACAAGTTTTGACATGAAAATATTTGTGTCAACTTGTAGTTACCGAAGTGAGATTAAAACTTTTAAGCTTAAATCCAAACAGTAAGTAATACGAAAATAATGTACGAAATCTGTAGAGATTTGAAACAAATATGAATTGACTTTCATTATTGTGGATAAGAGATAAATATTTCAGAACTTATTTATTAATCTACTGGGACAGTTTGAAACTAAACGATGAAAAATGATATAATTTAATTATTCATTGGTATATAAATAGTATAGTTATGTGCACATATAGAAAATAAAGACGAATTAAAAGCTTATCTCTTTCTGAAGTCCATCATCATCATCATCAGCCTATCAGAGCCTACTGTTGAGCACATCTCACATGGAGAAGATTTGATAATTAATCACCATGCTTGCTCAAGACGGGTTGGAGATTTCAAACTTATAATTTGATATTATGTATCCAGGTTTCCTTACGATGTTTTTTTTTTCATCTGTCAGTGGTGTCTAAATACTCTGAAAATACATATGTATAA